AACATCTGATAAAACACAGTAAGAACATCTGATAAAACACAGTAAGAGCATCTGATAAAACACTGTAAGAACATCTGATAGAAACAGTAAGAACATCTGATAAAACACAGTAAGAACATCTGATAAAAACAGACAGTAAAAACATTTAACTAAATGCTTAACTACTGGCAGTTGTTAGCTTACCATGCTTTAATATGGGAAACACAATTTACTAATTCAGCTAACTTGTGTAATTTTGAATTACAGAAGGAACAGTACAGTTGAATGTCATCAGCATACAAATGGTTAGACACGTTATTGAAGCTACTGATAATCTTTCCAAGGGGGCTGATGTATAAAAGGAACAGAATAGGACCTAAGACTGAACCCTGAGGAACACCATACAATAACGGAGTGATCTTAGACTGTGTATCTAAGATCTGTATTTAAAACAGCTACAATAACTACAGCCAGACAGAAGATGGTAAAGAGATAAAATAATTTATGTGAAACTTGCAGTCTTTCTGTCACATGGAGACTTCATAAACACTTTACTTTCTTGTCGATACTTCTCTCCGATTGTTGGCAACTAATTGGCAATCAGCATATCAAAGAGAGTCTCCAAAAAGTCTCCAAACATTTATAATATTCTTAAAATAATTATTAATTTAGATTTTTTTTTAGATTCTGAGGTTGACGATGTTCAGATGGGTGTGGTCGACTGTGGTGATTGGACTGACCTCTGCGCCGCTCAGCCCGGCAGGGACGTCCCCTTCCAGCCAATCACAGCCTTCCCCAGCGTCCTGCTGTTCCGCCCCCAGCAGCCGGCCCAGCAATACAGAGGGATGCTGGGGAGCGAGGCGCTGCATCGCTTCATCATGATGTCAGAAGATATGGCTTTCTCATATTTTACTTGAAACAAATGAGGAAAGAGAAAAAAAATCTTATTATTCGAGCATTTACCAAAAATAATTTTAGGAATTTTAACAGATTTAAAAGTGGAAAAGTTTAATCTGATTTAATTTCAGAAAGAGAAAAAAATGGTTATGTGCTGTTTTATTTGGTGTATGTAAACATCTGTTTTCAGCTGTAGTTCTATTAAATGTGGAGTCCCTCAGGGCTTCCTGTTGGGTCCTTTTATTTTAGTCGGTTTACAAAAGATTACTTAGTTAGGCTGAATTACATGATTTAGATATTGAACTTAAATTAAACATAGTCTCTTTATAAAATCTGAAACAAATTATTTTGTTCATCTACCAACGTTCGTATCCGTTCTCCTTCACGTTAATCTTTAACCAGGAGCCGCCCGGACTCTCCGCTGCTACTGTCCACCCGAGAGGAAGCGTCATCTTTCCTTCAGGAAGTTCCTCACTCTGAGCTCGTGGGCTACAGACTCGACAGAATCCTGGGATTATTCAGAACGCAGACTGAACCAGGTGAGCGGCTCGAATATTAAGTTTAACAAGATGCAAGCATCAAATTGTGGAAGATGATTTCCTAAAAGGTCATTTATAATAATGATTTATGGCCGTTTTCAACCAAACAAGGATAAAATTCAAAATAAATATTTTAGATTTTTTTTTTTCTTTTCCCAATGAAATGTGATGCTGACGTTTATTTTTTCCCCTCCAGGCTTATCAGTCTTCATTGAAGCAGCAAAGTCACTTCGAGGAGAAGTGCTGAGCGCACTGCTGACCGGCGAACCGGCTGAGAAATGGTACAGACTTACAGTTTGGTCGATGCAGCTTCTGCAGTACTGTGTACTCTGCACCGGTCTGTTTTGGTGAAGAGGGAGCTGAACTACAAGGAGAAGCTCTCTGTTTACCAGTCAGTCTCCGTTCCTAGCTTTACCCATCGTCATGAACTCTGGGTAGTGACCAAAAGAACAAGATTGTAGATGCAGGCGGTTGACATGAGTTTCCTCCGCAGGGTAGCTGTATCCTTAGAGATAGGGTGAGAAGTTCAGTTATCTGGAGAGACTCGGAGTAGAACCGCTGCTCCTCTACATCGAAAGGAGGTAGTTTGGGCATCTGGTAATGATGCCCCCTGGACACCTCCGTAGAGAGGTGTTTCAGTCATGTCCAATTAGAAGAAGACCCCCAGGGAAGGACATGCTGGAGAGACTATAGACTTTTTTTACAAGACACCTCAGTCATGGATTGAGACGTGTTTTCGGTGCTGAGGTGGCGAGTTGGGACGAAGACAGCTCACCTCTAGTATGTCTCTGTGCTGGGATAGTAACAGAGATGGACTGTGATAAAGTAAGCTGCAGAGCTCAGTAATGTGACAAACTGATCAAATCTGTGTGCAACTGTCCGCTCGTAGGACTAAACAACAACATACATTGATTACTGAGGGAATATTGATGATGACGCACATCAACGTTGTAGTTTTTAAAAATCCAAAAGCTAATTAGTGTTTTGTTCAGAGACCTCTTCACTCTGTCATGTGACCTCACTGTGTTAGAAGCTGTTAAGAGTTCTGGCAGTGTTTTTCAAAACGAAAAATTGTGTCTTTGTTTGCAAATTACATTGCCACGGTAACTCGAAATGCCAATAAAGGTAATGGCACAAATCACGGTGCCAAGCCGATCGTTTTGATATAACGTTTGTGGGGGCACACGTTGTGGTTCGGTACGCATTAAAGTTGACGGAAGAGTTAAGATATAAAGTTAAGAAACCGTTGTCAATAACAGATGACTGCCTTTCTAGGCAGTCCCCAATAAATAAATAAATAAATAAAGTTCAGAAACCCTTGTCAGGTGGATAATAATAGGTTAAATAAATAAATAAAGTTCAGAAATCCTTGTCAGTTTGATAATAGGTGGCTGCCTTTCTAGGCAGTCCCCAATAAATAAGGTTAAGAAACCCTTGTCAGGTGGATAATAATAGGTGGCTGCCTTTCTAGGCAGTCCCCAATAAATGAATAAATAAAGTTAAGAAACCC